GGCGCTACCCCGGCGGGCGCTTCCGACACGGGCGCCAAGAGCGGGACGAGAGCTTCTGCCCAAGAAACGCACGATCCTCGGGGACCTGGAGCGTAACTGCTCGGAGTGTTCCGCATGGCCCCACACACCGACATCTGCAAACTCGCCACCCCCTCGCACGCCTCCGCCAGACTCAACAAGCGGCACATGGTCAGCATGGGATCTCTCCCCGCGCGGGTGGGGGGAGGTGCAGTCGGAGCTTCGCGCGGAAACGCCGCCACCTGGCCAGGGGCTCGGCCAAGCGGGAATTGCGGAGCGGAGAAGCCCGAGGCCTGCCGAGGGGTGCGGAACGATGCCCTCCCTCCTCTCGCAGGCAGAAAATCGCTCAATGTCGGTACGCGCATGGGATCCGCCGGGGCAGGAGCCGGGGCGACGGGAGGGCCTTGAGTTACGGCGATATGTACGTGAGCCAGCTCCCCTCCCGCCGCGCCTGCCGCACCGCCGCTGTCAGCACGTTCACTGCCTGCTCGACAGCGGAGTCCTGACCGCGGCTGTTACCGCCGCGCCCAGGGCCATTCCGCCGACCGCGACGACCCCCAGACCCTGCCGACTGCGGACGTGGCGGGGACGGCTCGCGGCGAGCAGAATCCCAGCGGCGCCCAGGCGATCCCCTCCCCCGCCTCGCCGGAGATCGCCGCGGAGAGCGTCGCGCGGGGGATCGCGCTCGCGGCGATCGCCTATTCTGACCTCCGCGCCCATCTGGATGACGCTGAGGAGAGTGGTGCGGGGGGGAGCGATGGCGCGCGGGAGATCGCTGGGCTCCCGCTCCGTGACGAGGAGGGTTACGGCGCTCAGGAGAACGGCGACGAGGAGATCGCCGCAGCGGAGACTGACGCGGCGGGGAACGCCCGCACCCCGGATTCGGCGGTCCGGCGAGGCGGTTCGACGCGACCCTATCCGGGGCCCACGAGTACTCCGGCGAGGTGGGCCGCAGGACCCCCCGAAGAGGCAGGGACAGCCCACGCTCAAAGCGGCGATAGGGCTCACTCGCGGAGGGACGGGCGGGGAGACGTGTACGAGGACCAGCAGGCTCCAGCTCCTGCTGGGCGCTCTCCGCCGTACCCTCCAGCGCAGGATCGCGACCAGTGGTCGGATCCATTACGCCCGATGCCACGGCTGCCGACGCCAGCGCTCCGTCAACGAGAAAGTGACGTCGCAGCCGACCCCCCAACACGACGCGCGGGGGCCACAAGAACTAGGGACACGCGGGGAATCCGCGTGGGACGTGGCACCAACCGCCGCGGACGTGGGCGCGGCGCCACGAACCAGAGAAGAGGCGCAAGTAGCTTCGCCAGAACAGCACAGCGGGCCCTGCGGCGGAGAGCTAGGGAGGGAGGAGTGACACTCGGTGACGATTCTGGGAATGACTCAGCGGGTGACCCCTCCTTTATCCCCGAAAGGGAGGGGAGTTCGAATCCCTCGACAGATGGAGATGAGACTACCCCAGCCCAAGGAGTAGGCGAAATCCCAACTGGGGGCCGAACCGCATCTGCAATTCAAACCCCTCGAAATCGGGCTGCGAGGGGAAACCGAGCCGCCACCAACGCTAGGGTTACCACCACCCCCGACACCCCTGCACCAATCATCAGCGCTGACGACCTGGCTGGCCGCCAGGACCTCTTCGCTGACATCGCCAACTGGGACCTGTGCCCCCTGCGCGATAGCAGACAGCCACCCCTCGCCCGCCACCCACCCCGCCCACTTCGCGAATCTTTCGCAATCTGCCTCCTGACCCCACTACTCCACCTGGCGAAGAACCCCGACTCGTCTTCTGGTTGGAAGCTGCTGTTGTTCCTCCCGCGAATCCTGCTGCGCTCCTCGTCAGCCCGCAAACCTGACTGGAGAGGCATGGGCGACAGACTGACGAGATTCCGCCAAGGGCTGTGGCGTAACCTGTATAACGAGGCAGCGGATGCTGTCGCCAACAGCCCCCAACCACGCCACGTACCCGACACCACGGGCAAGCTGGCGAGGGCCGAGGGGCTAGCCAAAAGAGGAAACCAGGCAAAATCCCTCCAGTCCCTCACTGCCACGCCCGTCTGCATCCCGAGCGCTGAAGTCCTCAGCGCACTCATGGTCAGACATCCAGAGGCCTCCCGCGCCATTCCGGCCTGGGTGCACGATTTCGCCTCTGAGAACGTACCCTCCATCACAGCCCGTGACTTCAGGCGTCTGCTCGCCAAATGCCCGAACGGTGTAGGTGCCGGGCCCTCAGGAACCACCTTCGAGCACCTGAGAGACGCGGCACTCGGGAACGCCGACGTCTTAGCACAGTTACATGCACTCACCAACACGGCGCTCGCAGGAAAACTAAGCGCGGAGGCAGCAGACCTCCTCACAGCTTCGCGATTGCTCGCCTTCTCTAAACCGCAGGGCGGAACGAGACCGATAGCCGTGGGTGAATGTCTGCTCCGCCTCATCGCCAAAGCGGCTCTTTTCTTGGCCGCCCCCGCAGCACGCGAGCACTTCACCCCGCTCCAATTTGGAGTAGCAATCGCGGGAGGCATCGAAGCAGCGATCCACTCCGCACGCACCTACCTGGAGGAATTCCCGGGAGCGACAGCCCTGCAGATCGACCTGGCAAACGCCTTCAACGTAGTCGAGCGCGCGGCTGTGTTCGAGGGACTGAAGGGCACGGCCCTCGACCCCCTCGTGCCTCTTGTCCGCCTCTCTTACAGCCGCCCTTCTGCACTTTACCTCGACCACGACTTTGGAGCGGAGCCACTTCAGAGCGCTCGAGGCGTGCGCCAGGGCGACCCCCTAGGACCCCTCCTATTCGCAGCCAGCATCCACCCTTGCCTCGTCGCCACAGCAGCGGCCCATCCGGAGGTGGTGCTTCTCGCGTACGCGGACGACATCACCCTGTTAGGCGAGGCGGCGAACTGCACGGCGGCTTTTGCTCACCTCACTGAGGCCCTCCTCGCCCACGGCTTGTCCCACAATCCAGCGAAATGCGAAGCTTGGTCCGCCGTAGCCCTGGACCCCGCCACCCTACCCCCGGGAATCAATATCTCCCCGGACGGGGTCCGCATCTTAGGCAGCCCCATTGGGCCGCCCTTGGGCTGTGCTGCTCGAGTGCGCGAACGACTTTCCACAGCAGCAGAGCCGCTCCCACTCCTCTCACAGATGGACCCCCAACTATGCCTCCTTCTGCTCACCCGCTGTGTGAGCCGCCGTGCCTCGTTCCTGGTCAGAACCACACCAACCGAGGCCCTTCCCCTTGGGGAGTGGTCCGCCTGGGGGGAAGGGCTGCTCCACACCTACCTGGCTGCCGCACACACAAAGATCCCCAGAGATCGAGCAGAGAGGGACAGAATCTGGCAGCAGGCCGCCCTGCCCGCGTCCCTTGGAGGCCTCGGCATCACAAACCCTGCAGTAGAGGGGGGATTTGCCTACCTGGCCTCAGTTGTCTCCGCCGCCCACCTGCTGCGCTCCTTCGGCGATTCAGCAAACCCGGCCCTCACAGGACTCCTGCCGCTGATGGATGCCGACGAGGAGTCCACCTCCCTCCTCCCGAGACGCCTCGCAGCTTTGGAAGCCGAGCTGCCGCCTGATGGGACCGAGGCTCTCCAAGCGGGGAGGCAAAAGCCGAACGGGCCCAAGCTCCAACAGGCACTCTCCCTCGCGGTACACACTGCCCTCTACATTGGGCTACTGGATAGCTCGCGGGCCATGGAGCCGAACCCGCTGTCGGGCCATACGCAGAGGCTTCAGTCCCTCCTAGGCCCGGGGGCAGGGGACTGGTTACACGCTGTCCCTCTAATCCCTTCCCTACGCCTCGGGCCCTCCCAGTTCTCCTCGGCAGCCTCCTTCCGCTTGGGCCTGCCCTTACCTGTGCCAAGACGCTGCAACTGCAGATACCGAACCACCTTCCCTGACGACCGCTTGCCTAACCACCTGATGCGGTGTGAGAAAGGGGGGGGGCGAATAGCCACTCACCATGCTCTGCGGGACGAGTGCGCAAAGATAGCAGCTGAAGCGGGCTTCACAGTGCACAAGGAAACGACGGCATACTCACCAGTCGACAACCTCAAAGCGGATATCTCTATCCGCCATCCCGACACTGGTGAGGTCTGGATTTGTGACATCACAGTCACTGAACCCGTCTCCCACCAGGACGAGCAGGCCCGTAAGGCGCCCGGATGGGCAGCAAGGATGCAGGCGGACAAAAAGGAGAGCAAATACACCGGGCGGAGCGCTTGGGTTGGCTTTTACGCCATGGCAGTTGAGACATACGGCTACCCCTCAACGGGAGTCCTCGACTTCATCCGCAGCTGCGCAGAGCTAGCGGGCAAGCGGCGGTTCAACGCCGCTCCGAAGTCGAGGGAGGTTGCCAAGCTCCTTACCGAATACCGGCAGCGATGGAGCGTGACTCTGCAGAGAGCCCAGGCCAACGCCCTCAGCGTTAAAACCCATGAGGCCCTTACGGCGGATGTGCTCGGCCTGCAGGGCCCATTTACCCCACTGAGCGAGGGCCAGCTGTACCAACTGATTGAAGACCCCTCCGGCTACTAGGGCCGGAAGGGGAGGGAGCGATTCTTAGCGGTGCTAGATTGTTGAGAACTGCTGTAGCTCGGCTATGTGTAGATGTGGCCTTACCTGGTGTGTACCCTGGTGATTCTAATACAATGGACCGTTCGAGAGAAGGAATGGCAGCACAGGGAGCCTTCTCTCCATCCATGGTATGTCGCCCCTCGTCGATCCATCGCGATAGAAGTTGGGTTTTGAGTCGTCTCAAAACCCAACTTGAGTCACGAAAGGAAGGAATGGTGGCACAGGGAGCTCTCTCCATCCATGGTTTTTTGCCCCGCGTTGACCCACCGCAAGCGGTGTGTGATATTGGAGAAGACATGAGTGAGTGAGTGAGTGAGTGAGTGAGAGGGTGAGCGGGTGCGTGAGTGAGTGGGTGAGCAAGGGAGTGAATGAGAGTGTGCGTGGGAGAGGAGGGAAGGAGAACATACAGAGCAGTTAGTGTGGAGCTGAGTTGCACCAGGGTGGATGGAAGGCTCGTCAAATTGCTGGCAATGGATCTGCTTATAAAGGGGATGTGGAAAAGCGGAGGAGAACGTGATTTTATACAATGCAAAGCACACAAGAGACGGTCGAATGATCCTTTTTGCTGCGGGTTTCAAAGGACGCGGATGGAAAGCAGATGGGAATCGGATGAAGTTAAAAAAAGGAAAAATCAAGACTGAAATATGCTGAGAATTCGCAAGGCAAGAGGATGGAAAGAAGAGGGTACAGAACAGGGGGGGAGGGAAGGGGGGGGGGGGGGGGGGGGTTAGGAGGCAGAACGGCTAAAAGGAGTAGCAAGGAGGAAGCTTACAGGAAGGCGAGTGAAGGAAGGTTGCCAATGGCGGCTGGAAGCGGCCCCACCACTCCCACTAGCGTGCTGAGAGGTGAAAGAGCGGGGTGGGGAGCGGTGGAAAGTGGTACAGGTTAAACGACTCTCCCAATGGCGGGTGGGAGCGGCTCCACCACTCCCACTAGCGTGCTGAGAGGTGGAGAGGGCAGAGGGCAGGGGAGGGAAGAGGCTGCTTTGAAGATTCTCACATAGCTCTTTCAGTGGCGGTTGGGAGCGGCCTCACCACTCCCACTAGGGTACTGCGAAGTGGGGAGGAGGGCAGGTGGAGGGGAGCAGACGAGGCGATAGAACAGAAATACATGCATGGCGACCCTCTAGACCACTCCCACCAGGGTGCCACGAGGTGGAGACGGCAGGGAAGGAGGCGGAAGGCCGACGAGGTGAGGAGGGAAGACGAGGGGAAGTGAGTGAGACCAGCAAAAGATCTCACCAGGGATGACGTTTTTCTGGTGAGACCAGCAAAAGATCTCACCAGGGATGACGTTTTTCTGGTGAGATCAGCAAAAGATCTCACCAGGGATGACGTTTTTCTGGTGAGACCAGCAAAAGATCTCAGATGCCTTCGTCCCCCCGAGGTGCCTCAAACGTGACGTTTTTTAAGGGAGCCTCTGAAGCCTTTATGTCAGTCATCCCCGCCCCGTTATATCAATGGAACCGTTACCTAATCACAGTGATCCAATGCAGTGCAGCAACATGGCCAGAAACTGCCTCAGCCACACAGACACTACGTTGAAATCACTTTTGAGAATTCTCAAACGTGATTTCACTCACAGCGCGGAAACATAGCCGTTGATGTCATGTCACACACGACGCCATATAGAGCCTCGCAGTTGTCCACGCTCTTCCAGAATGAGCCTTCGGACTACAGCACCATAACACAGCCAGATAATAGCCCTTTGTATTGCCAGCACTCACAGCGCGGCAACATAGCCGTTGATGTCGCACGCCATGCCATATAGAGCCTCACACGACCAGCTGCTACTCACACCCCAAGGGAACCTAACGTGACTGTCTCTACCACTCACAGCGCGGTGACATAGCCGTAGATGCGGCACACGACGCCAAAGAGCGCCTCACAAGACCAGTCGCTACTCACACCCCCCGGGAACCTAACGTGACTGTCTCTAATACTCACAGCGCGGTAACCCATGACTCACAGCGCGGTGACATATCCGTTGATGTCGCACACGACTCCATATAGAGCCTCGCAGTTGTCCGCGCTCTTCCAGAACGCCTGGGGGCTGCGGCTCGGGTTCACAAACGTCATCTGGTCTCTTAAAGCCACCAGCGCTTGCCCTGGGTTGAGTGTGGTGGGGGTGGGGCGGGTTGGGGAGGGGATGTGAGGAGGAGGAGGGGGGGGGGGGAGGGGGTGGGGGGGATGAGCGTCTGTGCAATGCTCTCTTCCGGAATGCCTTGGGGCTGTGGCGAGGATTCACAAACGTGATCTGGTCTCTTAACGCCACCAGCGCTTGCCCTGAAACGGCGGGGATGAGGGAAGTTGAGAGGGAAGGGGAGAGAAGCAGGGAAGGAGAACGGAACGCGTTGGAGCTGCGGCTGGGGTTCACAAACGTCACCTGGTCCCTCAAAGTCACCAAGCTTGCCCTGGTTGAGTGTGGTGGGGAGGGGGCGGGAAGGGAAGAGACGGGCGGGGGAGGGGGGTGGGGAGGGAGGAAGAGGGGACAGACATCGGGGGAGGGGAGGGTAGAAAAGGCGGGGGGAGGAATGGGAGAGTACGCAAATCGCTCTTCCAGAACGCCTTGAGGTTGCGGCTAGGGTTCACAAACGCCATCTGGTCCCTCCGAGTCACCAGCGCTTGCCCTGCTCGGAACGACGGGGGAAGAAAGTTGAGAGAGAGGGGGAAACGAGGGGGGGAGACGAGGTGGGAGGGGATGGGGGAATACGGTGGGGAAGGAGAACGGATCGCCTTGGGGCTGCGGCTAGGGTTCGCAAAGGCCAGCTGGTCCCGCAGAGGCACCAGCGCTTGCCCTGAAAGGGCGGGGAGGGAGGAAGTTGAGAGATGAGGGGAGAGGCAGGATTGGAGAAAGGATCGCCTTGGGGCTGCGGCTAGGGTTCACAAAGGTCAGCTGGTCCCTCAAAGCCATCAGCGCTCGCCCTGCTTCGTGCGGTGGGGAGGGAGACGGAAGGGTAAGGGAGCGAGGAGGGGGCAAGAGAATGTGGGAGGGAGGAGGGGAAGGGAGGAGAGGGAGGGAGGATGGTAAGGCGTCGGGGGGAGCGGAGGGTGGGGAGCGGCTGGGAGCGGTTGTAGAAGATGTGAGATTGTCACTCATAGCGGAAGAGCTTCAAAGCTGCAAATCTTCGCTCCAAGCGTGGGAGCGGGGGGTGGAAAGCGGCTGGGATAGGTGGAAGGAGATGAAGGTCTGTGTAAACAAACGACTTTTCCAGTGCAGTACGCCGTGGGGCTGCGATTAGGGTTAACAAGAACTGCATTTCACGAATCCACGGTCCAGAATCTACGAACTAGAATCCACGACCACGCGTTGCAGCCTATCCTTTACTAGCCGTACGTTACAACCCATTCGCTGCAACCCGTTCGCGTCAGCGCGTACGAACACCGTGCGCCGCCGCATTACAACCCGTAGTACGCACTCCCTCCGCCGCTTGTTACACCCGCGGTTCGGCGAGTCGCAGTCCGGGGGGAACACGCGAATCTTCCAGGAAACCATGGCGTCATAGTAATACCGCTGCAGGCGCTGCTGCCGTTTAGGAGTCGACTAACAAAAATCAGTCTCATCACAGGCGGATTATATTTGGGAACTCGCGCGACTCAGTCTGAGGGGAACACGCGAGTGCCCCAGGAAGCCATGGCGCCCGAGTAATACCGCTGCAGGCGCTGCTGCTGCTGTTGCCGCTGCTGCTGCAGCTGCTGGGGGTGCTGGCGATGGTACTGCGAGATCGGCGCGAGCAAGAGAAGCACGAGCACGGACACACACCATAGTCGCTCCTGCCGCTGCCGTCTCCGCCATTGCCGGCATGAAGCACGCAGAGAAAGGCCCCCGTTTGTATCACTCCCTGTTACGTCACTCCCTCCTACGTCACTACCCATGACGTCACCCCCTATTGCGTCACTCCCCATAGTGTCACACTTGGACTACGTCACGCTCTCACTACGTCACTTTCCATTGTGTCGATCCGTGGCTAGTAGTACTACGGGCGACGCCGCGGCGGCTGTGTCACTTGCGAGGCGGGAGCTTCGGAGTGCGAGCCACGGAGTGTGAGCTTCGGACTGCGCTTCGGAGTGCGAGCTTCGGAGTGCGCTTCGGAGTGCGAGCTTCGGAAAGAGAGCTTCGGAGTGCGAGCTTCGGAATGCGAGCTTCGGAGTGCGAGCTACGGAGTGCAAGCTACGGAGTGCGAGTTTCGGTGTGCGAGCTTCGGGACGGGGAGCTTCGGATCGACTCAGGACGGAGAATGAAACGTGGCGGTGCGACGAGAATCGAGATGCAGGCTGGATGTGGAGAGCGAGAGCGGACGAGATGCTGAGGAAACGAGGGATGCGAAGGAACATAGGCAGGCAGCAGCAGAGGAGAGCATTGCAGTGCAATACAATTGATGCCTGTTTGAGCCCCTCCCGGTTGCCTTGTGAAGGGGGCGTATAAGCTGTATCGTGCATTTCGCATAATTTTCGTCAATTCGCAGCTAGCTAAAAAGGATTCGCAGGTGCTTATATTAAGTATCTGTAACCTTATCCGTTGACATTTTGACTTCAGTCTCTTCATTTTGACTTCGGTCTGTTCGCTACTATTGGTCCATAACCACGCGACGCGCTTGTATCGTGGGTGCAACAGGCTGGGGAAAAGACCTCGGGTGCAGCGTTTCCATCCGGTGCAAGGCAAATTCGGGTGCACTGGTTGGGCATCATGTGTATATTATCCAATTCTGTACAGTTGAGCAAGAACAGAGCCCAAGAAACCCACCTACCTTTCTGTTCTGTTCCTTCATCTGTTCCTAAAAGGTATGAACAGTACAGTACAGATGTCAGTTAGTTGACGGGAACAAGGGGGGATAAGAGGACTGGACTGCGCTGCAACCAAATGAGTAGTTTTGTCTTTTTGTAGGTCTGGGTAGTCGCAAGTACCTAGCCACCGGTAATTTCACGCCCTTGGAACAATTTTCAAAAAATACCCAGAACCATTTCCGGCCGAATCAGCCCGACACCCAGAAGATAGGGGCTATGAATGAGGCCGTCACGCTCAAAGTTGTAAATACACATACCTACCAGGATCTGAGACATTAGACACTCGTGTGGGTCAGTTGCTTTGTTGAGATTCTCTAAGCAACTCACTCGTACACGGATTCCAAAACACTCCCACTCTAGAATTTATATTGTCCTTCACAACCCGCAGTCTGAGAGAAATTACAACTATCATCATCCGATGTGGAAATAGTGGGATTGAATTCACCGTTGGCTAGGTGTAATATCTTTTCACTGGTCTCCAGATTCTCCTTGCCCCGGTGGCTAGGTGTATGTAGGGCATTCTCTGCACCATCTGAAGTTTGGACAGGTCTGGTCTGTGGTGGTCACAAAGCACATTTACTGTAGACCAGGTTGGGAAATAATTGCGTCCAATCATTCACATTGCATGAAATTCAGCTTGGCAATGAACAAAGGGCACCCTCTCTGGTGTCAGAAATTTGGAGGTGTCAGGAGGTTCCGTACACCTCGGAAACTGTTTCAGCCTGACATTGCTGTCATGTCTGGGAGAATATGCCGTTCGTAACCATCATGGGACTCGAAAACATTTTTGGTACAAAAATAAAGGGTACGGTCACTGCAAAGGGTGTTTTCACGCGACTGATAAAGCGTTTCACGGAATCAGTCACAATCAGCTGGTTAAAAACAACGCGAATGATAACAGATGAAACTCCCGCCAAAACAAAATGAAACCCAGAAAGAACCTGGATGCATTTTCGGATGATCAACCCTAAACACGTAACTCGCCAGGTGTTTAGGGTTGATCCGTTCCCAAACGGCATCCGATTCCGATTGGGTTTTAGTTTTTTTACAAGTTCGCAGATTGGTTGGGCGCGAGCGGGAATTTTGTTGAGTTTCAAGTTTTTTAGCGGGAGTTACATGTGTGACCATTCGCGTGATTTTTTACCTGCTGTTAGTGACTGAATCCGTGACCCCGCTTACCAAACCCGTCAGAAAACCCGATACAGTGACCGTACGCGTTCTTTTTTTATCATTCACGTTATCGAGTTCCAAGTTGGTTACTTGTGGCATATTTTCCCGTCATGTCTCGTATGTCACAATGAACATGGCAGCGGCCACTGTTCGCCGATCAAAAAGAAGGTTCGTTCTATTACTGCAATTGTCAATAACCAGTGCGTGTTTGCGTTTGCCTGGTTCGCAAATTCCTGCTCCTCGAGTATTTGCAGTCACAAAACTGGACCCGGAAATGCACACAGAATTGGTTCCTGACCATGGCGGCAACAGTTGAAAATTGTTGTAAAAAGTCTTGTGTGGTGTGGAGAATTTTGCGAAGTTGTATAGTACCGCACTACTGTACCAATTGGTGGCAACTGGGTGGCAATTGGTGGCAGCTTGGCAGTCCCCTGGCAACAGTGCAACGGCTGTTTGGTCGGAACATCAAATCTCGGAAGTTGATTTCGTGTTCTGTACGTACGAGGGTTCAATGAATGAGCTGTACAATACAGTAAGGGCGTTTTCTCCACTCTTATCAAACAGCCAGTCGACAAAGTTTGTTGTCTTTTTTTTTTTTTTTTTTTGCAGGAGGTGAAATTGCATTATACAACGCTAAAAACACCACCCATCGGTCGTAACCGTGCTAGAGGGCCTATGTATAGCATACCGTACCCTCGCGGAAACCTCTACGGTGGTTTATATATCAGTCGCCTGAAAATTTCATCCTGCCCGCTAGGGAGAACCCTAGCAATGCTGCTAGCCTGCTTCGTGTGTGGCTCGACCACTTGAACATTGTTTTGACGAGCGTTTGTTGCTCTGTAGATTGCATCATTTTGAGAGAGGTGAAGAGTGGTTTTAGCCACAATCTTGGTTGGGCGAACCCTCCGCTCCAATGCAGCAACTCTCCATAGCTTCCTCCGACAATGACGGCGAGTGAAAATTTCCACAGCTTGTTCACTTGTTCTGACGCATCCCCCATTCCTCTTAACTCCAGCATTACCAAGCTTTGACGCCGTAGATTAATGTCATGAAATTTCGTAAATGCTTCTTTGTTCTTGCCTCCTGATTCATGGTAACGACGAACTGTAAAAGAACTGAGGTCAATCTCCTCCAGATGCAAATATGCTTCTTGCAGCGTAGTTTCCAAAGACTTCTGAATGGAGCTCGCGTCAGCTTCGGGAGTCTTTTGGTCATTCAACAGTAAATATGCCTCGTCGTCAATAATTTCAGCAGTCATGCTGATTGTATGAATGTCTTCACAATCTGTAGATACCATAACTCTTGCTTCCTGGAAATCATAATGTGAAACCGACTTGAACGGTCGTGTCACTGGGTGGTTATCTTGAGTATCCAAATGTTGTCGCTGAATGGCAGCAAAAGCTGTCAAGCGAAAAATATTTAGCCGTCCTGCTTCCCTGTATTTAAAGTTCCCGATTTCACTTGATCTGACTTTATTCTCCATATGCCATCTTGGTTGACGGGTTGAGATCAGCAGCGCCATAGTATAATCGTTTGAGAGACTTGAGCAATGTTGTTGTGAGCTTTCCATCACTGAATAACCTGAAAAACGGTATCCTCTGAAGATGTGACGACTGACCAATGTTCGTTGTATGAACTGTCAGATTTATATGACTTAGCTGCTGTAGGCTATAGTGGGGTAGCACATATGGGGTACAGCTTTCTAGGGTTTGTACTTGTACCCAACTTTCACTTAGTCATTTCATTCCTCGTTCATTTTCACATGGTATAGAGCAGGTTCCCCTGTGGGAACTGTTCCTAGGGCCCACCAACTTTTTTTTTCCTGCACGGAGCGCGCTCAGCCTCTGCCCGAGTCGCGCTCCCCTCTCACGGCCCCGTCGCGCCGCCCTTACGACCCCGTCGCGCCGCCTCAGCGGCCCCGTCGCGTCACGCCTTCCTAGCGGCCCCGTCGCGTCGCCCTTGCGACCCCGTCGCGCCGCCCTCGCGGTCCCGTCGCGTCGCGCCGCCCTCGCGGCCCTTTCGCGCCGCCCTCGCGGCCTCCTCGAGCCGCCCTCGCGACCCCTCCACGCCGCCCTCGCGGCCCCGTCGCCTACCCTTGCGGCCCCGGCGCCACCCTTCCCGGCCCCGGCACCGCCCTTCTCGGCC